GAAATATTAGCGGTGCCGTGTATGTTTTAGGGGTTATACACCCCTAAAACAATTTTACACTTATAAATTTATGTTTGGTAATGTATTATTGACAAACCTATGGACAGGAAAACAGATATAAATACCTCTTCTTAATAACTTTTTTTCAGATTAGTATAGATAAAACATTGACACCTTAGTTAAACATTGACGTATATGGCCATGTCCTGAAATTTTTAGTCAAACTACTTTTAACGGGCTATGATTTCGTTTTGTTTGAATTGTAAATCTATAATGCCAGAGTTGTGTTCATTTATCTTTTAAACAATTGCATGGCAATTTGAGTTATTATTTCAATAAAACTTATTCATAAGATTGTTTATTTTTTATTTTTAGATATAAAATCTCTAGAGGGCCACTACTCAAGTATGAAGAACAGGCCTACCTTGGAACCTTCCACTCAAGAGCCAGTGGAAGAACCTGACTACGAGGGCGAATACCCTGATGATAATAACAACTAACTAACTATATTCTTACAAACTATTGTGCATTAGTGTTTTATAAAAGCTTAAAAGGAAGTTTTGTTTTCTTTTCCAATTACCTTCAACGGTTTGAGAATTATTGCTTTAAAATATACACACTATGTTCTTTTGCGCAAGAATCCCACACTTGAAAAGTTTCTTAAAGCTAAAGGAAAACTGAATTGTTGTAATAATGTCAGATCATAAAAAAGGTATTCGCGTAACATAGCCTAATCGTGGCCTAATCCTACCAAAGGTGTTTTTACGATTTCGACAATCCTCTGACATTTGAAAATGAAGAAATTATGCTCCAAAAATTACCATGTAATATTAAAGAAGTTACAAAACCTATACTAGCCAACCCGTTCGAAGCATTCGCGCTAACTCCTTCTCAAATCCCACTTATTGAAGTACAAAACATACAGTAAATACTGCGTAGTAAGTGCATCGTTGATTTCAGAAATAAATGTTGGTTTACTTTTTAGATAAATATCATTTTCAAATCATAATGTTAAGCTATTTACATTTTTACATGTTTGCAGGACCTATTAGAACACTATGTTGGAAGTGATAATATGGCCTTGTTTTTATGGCATTGTTTTTATACAGACATAGTTTTCACTTTGAAACAACACACCCTTGACAAAGCAGCAAAACTGAATGTGTAAAAAACAGGGTCTGGACTTAGACTAGCACGTGCAATCCTTCCTTCGTCAGCCTCTGTCCATAAATGTTATTTAAATCACAAGGGAAAGTCATAAGGGTGGGGTAACTTTTAAGGGAAATTCCTTCTTAGTCAGTTTGAAAGGATTACGGACTTTTGCGTGGTATGACAGTTTGACCGGAGTCAGCCAACTTTGCTTTGATAGTGTAGGTGTCCAAGTGAGCTACAACCAATCTTGTATAATGCTTAGGTTTCTCATCAACATGATAATAGAGTTCTTTTTAGCGTGGGTTTGTGTGGTAACAAACCTAAAGGGCTTAAATGAGTTTTAAAAACTCCAATGGATACAACCAAGGCCCCACTAGGGAAACCCCACAAAAAATGTTTTCTAGTGGGGCCTTGATACAACAGAGCGTTCTTCGTACCTTATTAAAGAAACTATCAAAACTTATATAAACCGTTTCCTGTCAGTAACAAATTCGACACATCATAACCATTAATGGAAACCTGTAGTAAAGAGAAGATAAGAGGTGGTGTTTGGAGATGGCATTCTTAAATATATATAGAATGGTCGGTACGTACGTCAAAATTAAGGCTATGTCATTAATAAGGAAATACGGTATAAAAGCTAAAGAGTCCATGCGGTACTTACTTTTGAGTTGTTCTTGTTTAGTCTTATTAGTGAATAATCTGTTTTCATCTCCTGGGTTATTTACCGTAGAAAACACATCCTAAGTTTGTTTGTTTGAGTCTTATTGACACTCTGATTTGATAAATAAATATTCTTTGTTTTGATTAATTCAATTCATATGTTTCAGCTGATCGAATAACGTAAATAAACATTTCAAGTTTAAATTAGCCTACTTGCAGAATGATAAAATAGATCGTTTTTACGAAACACTACTATGAGTGATTTGTATACTACCCTAATGTAGTGGGTAAACGTAGCTTTAAAATTACACCTCATTCATGAAAATTGGTGAGGAAAAGGAAGTTATGGTGTACCGAAAAAAATTACTTTAGAAATTATAATATTAATATATTATAGCTGCATAGTTCAAAATGTCACCAAAACATCAACTGGAACCCACTATCATAGATAAAACATACGTTGGTTAGTCTACGCCACTATCATCCTACACTCATCTCCATTCATACTTGACTTAAAATACCTACTTTGTATGGTAGCCATTTCATCGAATAGTATAGTATAGTATAGTACCTACATTCTTATGGTCGCCATTTCAAAGTGAAGTATTAAAGTAAAGTATTGAGTTGGGAACTAGAAAAGTCGACCCTTTGAGAGTGACAAACATTATTTTAACTTGTAAAAATCGTGTGATAAAAGTTGTGAGGGCCACAGAAAAGCAACGCGCGCTGCATACTAAGTTTGGGCTATCTTGCATCGCGAGTTGCTATGTTTACATAACTTTTATGTTACCAAGTTTATTCAACTTGGTCTCCACTATGTTTTCTAGCTGGAGTGCAAAGTTTGAATATAAATTCCCGGTTTTTTTATGTTCCAACAAATGTTCTTAGTAGTGTAATTGTCATAAAGAGGAGTAAAAATAGGATAAAGAGGAGTATTGAAAGATACCGTATGGTTACAAAATATACTTGGAGGAAGAAAATATTATTCTTGCTAGAGAGCAAAGTTCGTCAAAAATAAATTCCTGATGTGTTATGTTCAAATTCCCAATTAAATCGTTGTTTCGTACTGTAAAATGCTATTTGATAAAGAGAACAATTTACATGTATCGTACGGTATGGTTACACATAATTAAGCGAATAATAGTTATTTGTCTAACTAGTAGACGAAGTGGCACTTTGCTGCACACGAGAGAAATGTTTACGCACAATCCGTAGTTTTATTGTTCCCACTCAAATTTTGAGAACAAGTTTTCAAATGTCCCATTTAACTTTCTCAGCACTGTAAATATGTAAAATTAATTGATAAAGACAAAAGATTGACAGATCTCATACTGTTACAAAATATATTGGAAGAAAATGCAAGTAGTAAAAGTTATATTGGAGTGAAAATCACCACGAATAACGAAGAGTTTATTACTAGCAATCAAAAAACGTAATAATGCGGGCTATAAACTGACAATTGGCTTATACAATGATGGTTTATTGGCAGTGAGGAAAATTGGATTCAATACTTAATATTTCAAAACCGTATAGCTAAAATTCGCTGCCACGAAGTATACGTCCCATTTCCATGATATCAATAATTATCAATTATTATAGGATGGGGACGCCACTATGTGCGTATTTTAACCCAAATATGAGTGAAGGATGAGTGGCGCGATCTTGTAGTCTTGTTAGTGACTAAGGCCGACATGTCCTTGGACACAGCTGTCAATTAATAGCCCATGCAGCTAATGGCAACTAAGGGACCTACAGTTTATAGTGAAATCCAAACCACATTTTTTCCTTGTAATTTACGAATTGGTCTAATTATCAGGATATATCAAGCATTAGAATTTAAAAGTAGTTTAATTGAGTCAAGTCAGTATGCAACTGTAAAAGACCTTTTCTTTCGTATAAACCTACTGTTTAATCGTGGTAATCTAACAATAGGTCTAGCAGCTTAGAGTTAACTCAAGGATACTTTCTTCATCAACTAACACAGTTTTCATATTTAAAACGTTCTATTTAAATTTTACAGAGTGCACTTTACCCTTTGTTGTCTGGGATCATATAACAGTTTAGAAATATCTTTATGTTTGTTTAAATAAATAGAAAACTATATTTGGTAAACTTAATAGTCATAATAATTTTAAAGTTGGTACTGTAATATCACAAAAGGTAGAGCATGTACGTATCTACCTACCCAAACATTACCGGAAGTATGCATTTAAATTATGTATAAGGCTAATGAATCCAACAAGCGTAAGGAATATTATATGAAACCCAAAGCACTTAAAATAGCACAGTTTGACACACTTTAAGGAGGTAACTACTAACCACCAGCTTTAATTTTGAAGTCACATGCCACGTTTTAACAACTTATTTTCAAAGTTGGTGTTTCGATTGGGATTATTTTATCCGTAACTGTTATTATCCGATCAAAATTAAATATCAAGCAGTTTAAAATGGAAGGGATCATTTTAATACGCTTATCCAAGTTCAAATCCAGACTGAAGAGCTCTTGTTCGCAAAAATGTTTGAATTAATCCGATTTCTTCAAACCGAACATGCTTCCAAAGTTACTATCATAACAGAAAATCCCTGAAGTTCCAAGGGAATCGTAAAAAATTTAAACTTATTAAGAGGGTGTTTTGTTTTTGAGTGGGTCGATATTTTGAGACTCACACACCATTATATAAATGGATACAATTAATTATTGTGGGCATAACTGGTATTTTGTGTTAATTCTGCACCAAAAACCTTTGTGTTACAATAAAGATATTCAAGTGTATTTTAAATTTGGAAGGTGATTAAAGAATAATTGCTTAGTAGAGTATTGATTTAATTTCAGTGTTTTCTCTTTATATATTTGTATATTTTGGTATACCGCTGATTATTCTAACATTACTTTGGTAAACAATTTCGAGGAGCTATTTTAACAACTCAGATATACTTGTCAAAGTTTCCTGTGAATCTTGCCGTTTATTTTTGGCATTTTTGCATTTACAATTTTTGCATTTATAATATATGAGCTTAAATTTAGGGACCAAATTTTATTTTACATCCTAGCTGTTTTGCAAAAAAAATGTTTGTATTTTCTTGGAGTATAGAAAATCAGCTGGTACAATCGGTCTTGTTAAATCAAATAAATAGACTATTTGTTTTTAAAATTCAAAATGTGTAAATATTATTTTCCTGCCTAAACTCAAGAGATACTGCACGTATTTGTTTTATACATAAGTGATTGTTTAAGAGGTGTTGTAAATGCTATTTCGAAATTGAAAGTGAATATCTTGCATATCGTCGATTGCTTGAAAATACGAGTATTTGAGATAAAGTTCATTAACCATACTATGAGGATTCGACACGCCGTCAGCGAAGAAGTCGTTCCAACCAATGACGTTAAATGTGAGTTTTAATATGGGTTAAGAATGGATGTAATACTCCCAGGGGTTGCTTATAGATTTTTAATAAGGCTTAGGTATGCCTACTTTTCTAATGTTTTCCATATAGTAAAAATCCATCATAGTACCTAAACTATAGTTCTATATAGGACTTAAGTACTATCTGGTTGTGTTGAGGTTATTTATTTTGTTTTGCCAGTTATTTCCTTATTTTTAACTGTGTTGGTAGTCTGTAAGTCGTATTTTATGAACACGAATAACACAAAAATCTATTTTCTCTACAAAAGTTGAAGGTCCAATAGCATTCATTAAAATGCATCATCAGATGAAAAGATAAACCCACCCGTTAACTTGAACCCGAGTCCCCCAATGTTTTATGATACAATTTCTATTATAAAACAAATCAACACTGTTTTTCATCAAAACTATTCTTATCTTTTTGTAAAGGCTACCGTAGGATTCTACCCTTAAAGACAAATTAAAACATTTTCTATATTATTCTCTTATAATGTCTGCAGTCATATAAATTTGTATCAAATAAAATTTTTAAGGTTGTATATAAGCTTCTATAAGGTAAAATATAATAGATGTACTTGCAATAGATAAAGGTTACTTAATATGTACTCTTGTTCTGTATTATTTCTCGCGACAAACTATTGAATTTGGATACGAAATATTACTTTCTGCATCTAAAGTCAACACCCAAACTTATACTGTGATAGCAAAGAGATTGTCAGTTCCATCTATGTAATAGTTATTCTGCTCAAACGAACGTCCAACAAATATTTCGTGTGAGTTTTGTATTTAGTATACAATGTATGTATTAGGTACCATTGTATTTGGATACTGCAAATATATTTTTTAGCCAAAATTGATTATTTGGGCCGTAGAAGTCGGTTTTGATGCACGTGTTTCATGTCCGTAATTTGTAATTATTTCTATTTTGTGGAATATTTTAAAACTTATGTTTGGTTCTGATACCAGCGGTTAAGCAACAGAGAGATTAGATGTAAACAGCGAAACGTATACTCTATGTTTAGCGTACCGGAAAAAATAATACCAAAAGAAAATGGTTTTTATAGATTATTCTTGATCCCTCAGATTTTAAGAAAACGACGATATTACCATAGATTTAACCTTAGATTACACATACCCAACTATAGATTACTATCTTATCATTCTATGCTTAGTATAGGTTGTATTCGTGTGTGGTTTACTATTTATTCACATAATTTACTTTAAATCAACTAAATCAACATAAAACAATAAGTGACGTTTAAAAACAAACTGCTTATTTTTGAAGGCTAATAAAGCAAATTACGAATTATTGTACAACTCTAAATGTAAGAGAAAACTAGTTATTCAAAGTATCAGCTCATTTGAACATTACCAATAAAAGGGCAATATGAAATATACTTCATAACATAGGCTTTACGCTTGCAATAGATCAAGAAGTCTTCGTGCACTATTCCAAACCAATTATATTAAAAATAGGGGGCCATAGCAGCAATATTATTGCTGCTTTATAGTTATGTATGCAATGTAAATTAAATTAGTTATTTGTGTAACTAGTGGTGAAAGTGGCACTTTGCTGCACACGAGAGCAACGTTTACGCACGAGCCGCAGGCGAGTGCGGAATGATCTCGAGTGCAGCAAAGGCCTTTTTTACTCGTGTTACACATTATATTTTTCCTACAGTCATTATAAAGCATATAAATAATTAGTCTTTCAAACACTATACAACACGTTTTTAGGTTCAGCTGGCAACACAAATGGTGCCCTAGAGAAAGTAGTACCCGCGGTCCGTATCACTCCGCTATTTTACCTCGGCAAGAAATATGCTCCGCGTTTTGAGAATATAGTTCCGTATGTTTTTGTAATTTGAAGTGGTTTCCGCGCCTTAAAAAAATGCTTTAAAGGTATTTTCTTGTTTGTTAAGATCGTAGGAATATTTTAAAAACGTTTAAAAGCATAAAAGCATAAAAGCATAAAAGAAAAGTCCAGAAAGTTCAGAAATACCGAAACTATAAACACGAAATGACAGGTTAAATCGTAGTTATAATAGTCAATCAGCTGCTCATAGTATTATTATTTTTAAAGTGTTGCCAACCTATTTCCAAGCGTACACGGATTACGTGCATAATAGAACCACGCTGTTTTGTGTTGTTTCGTTGGAATCCTGATGTGCGGCAAAGTATAAACCGTACGGAAAAGTATAAACCGTACGGCAAAGTATAAATATGCAGCAATTAGCAGCTTTCTGTACTATAAACAGTACAAGGAAGCCAACTTTGTCAGATGGCTGTAGGAAAACACACTTTTTAGTCATTTAATCGCGGTCTTCCCCCAACATGAAACATTTCAACACTGCATTACCATTCTAACCTAAAAACAGAACACTAAAATCAAACATACAAATACGTAATGTTTACATCAGCTGGTATGTTTAAAACAGCTTATAGAAACACTGTAGCAGTACTACCATTAGAAAATGGCCGGATCTTAGACACCTGTGGGGCAGAGCAGGGGCAATTTTTGACACTTCTGATATTTTTCCCACCGTCCTTGGACCTTACGCTTTAAAAAAAATCCTCAACATCCATGTTACCATTTTCCTAGCTCGAAATATTTTGTGGGGATCGATTCGCTTACGGAATGAAATATACAGATAGAAGATACATAGATCAACTGGCACATTAAATAACTCTTCGATTCACATATTTTGTGGTTTCAGTTCAAAATACTTCATAAAAAATAATGCATGTTTACATATGATCAATACAGTTAATACCTAGTATTGAGTTTCTGTGCATGGTTATCTAAGTTTGGTAGCAATGCTAGTCACATATTGTTGACAAATAATTCAAAACAGATGACAACTATTTGGCATTCATTCGTTTTGACGATACACTTTCAAAACAAAGTGACAAAAATAGTTCAAATTCAAGTTTATTTGTTCACAAAGGAGAGTGTTTGTTTTAAGTAAGGTAGGTCTAGTATATAATTAGCTATTTATAGCTATGTTAGTATAAATAACTACGTTGAACTTGTTAATTTTTCATTTTTGTAACATAAAAGTAACAAGTAATTTGTACAATTGGATTGCTGTTGTTTAAAAGTATTTAAGCTTTTTAATGAATTTATTATTTTTTACTTTAATGCCTGGACAATCTATACTCTCGATACTGATGCCATTTAGATTATACAAAAGGGTGTTCTTTAAATTACTTTACAACATTAACAGCACAACATTGGGTTTATATTGAAGTTACACTTAATTCCAGGTGAAGCTATCATTTACAGGCAGTGAGAAAAAATAAAATAATTTTTATGATACTAGGCCTACTTCCAAAACAAGTATAAGGAATCTCTAACATACATCTAACTATGAAATATTCAAGTTTACTGACATCTCAATTACCTAGCTAATTGGGTTGGGAGTGGTCTCTGGCCTAATTTATCTCCAAAAAAACTAATGAGTCATAGAGCAATCTTAATGTAGGTTAAATTGAAAAGCGTCTTGATAGTTTAATATTCTGGGACATGTCATTAGAGGGTAGGGCCTACATCATGTGGGGTACAGTTCCGCAGACAGCAGAGATATAATATTATTGAATTAAATTTTCTTTCGAACATCCCTATATCAATTAATATGTACCTATTCGATATGAATATTAAGTGTAACTGATGATTTTCTGTTATGGGTCTTTTCAAGAAGAGACCACTCACCCCTCAATCAGGGCACTGTAGCGTTTAGGTTAGGTTAGTAGAGGTCTGTTAATGATAATGACAACAAGGTGCCGTTTACCAAATTTTAATTTTCTAAACTCTAGAAAAAAGCGGACAAAAATACAAATTGATGGCTTTTGTAAATTTATCTAAATTAGTTGTTGTATTTAGTTTTCTAAATTATTTGTTGTAATATTGCATATACTAAAATAACCTATGCCAAACTTAGTAACTAACTTTAAGTAGAAACTAACCTACCCTAGCCGCGGTACAGTGTTAAAAAGTTTACTTGAAAATATCCTGTGGTTTAAAACGTGCAGATTCAATACTATCGACAAATTGACATAATTATATCACCTGCGAACTATATCCAATACAATTAGGCCTCCTGTGTATATCGCATGTTCTCTGTGGAACTGTACCCAATATGTGCTAGAGTGGCCTGTAGCAGACTCAAGATATTGTAAACAATTTCCAAAATAAGTGTTTCGTTAGTTTCAGAATATCTTCGAAGAAATCCTAGATTGCCAAAAAAGATGAGACCTGTCAAGGCAAAGTAAGTGAATGATTTAACTATTGAAATTAAAATCTTATGGGCTAATTTGTAAACGTTAAAAATATATATTTTTTACATACACAATATGTTGTAAACTAGGTCAGTTGACTGCCAATAAATATTTGAATATGAATATTCAACGGGAAAGTGATTTTTTTCAAAACTCCCCCTTTAAATTTTTTGGAGACCTCTAATCAAGTATCGTTCTAGTCAGACGGAAAAAGACGTAGAGGGAAAATGTAGAACTTCTTCTGTAATAAGATTTACTGAATTTAATATATTTAATTGAGGACTTAAAGTACATTTCATTAAAGATAGTAAATATTATGTCAAGCCAACGTCCAGTTAGTTTACCATAGAAATTTTCAAGAGCCCAAAACGTTTGTGGGCTGTTAGACTTTCTGGCTGTGATGCTGGGTATTTATTTTTAAACAGTGCATCTATTAATTTCAAAACGATATTCCGGAATTGATTGGGGGAAAAAATATATGGCCTAAAATATTAAAATGATATAACTATTAGCATAGGTTTAAATTCCATAAATGTAACAGTATAATTAAATAGTAAGTATATAAGTAGTATATAAGTAGTAAGTATTTACTAAATAATGGTGTAAATACCTGCATCTATGTGATCAATGTGATGCTAAAATGCAACCGGTTTCGACTCACAAAGGAGTCATCGTCGGGCCAGTACAGATGTCTTCTTGCTTCATTTGAATTTAGCAACACATTGATCACATAGATGCAGGTATTTACACCATTATTTAGTATTTAAATGTGATCAGGAGGCTAAAACTCAATATAATGAAGTAAGTATTTGGTTGTTTTAGTAGAACAATGATAAACAAATTTTGTTGTGTTAGACCGTCAAATTCATCAGTCCGTACGATTGGTCAGGTGAGTGGCCATGGGAGAAATTTGTTGTCATCAAACCTTTTTGGGATACATAATATGTAAGTATTTCATAAATAATGGTCTGATTTCACTGGCCTGTCCTAGTTAGTTAATTTAATTATTTAAAATTAGGCCTAATTAAATTATTGTTAAAAGACAAACTCAAATATTAAGGGTGATAGTTTCTAATCGTCTGTATCTGGTCAACTTTGATCAGCCTTACTTCTAGTGTGTAGTTCTTAAAAATCCACACAGATCAGTGTGGATTCCTGGTGTTGGAATTTGCTGGTGTTCCAGGTTTGAGTACTAACCCCGTCAAGTTTTTTCCACCTAAAACAGATCAGATACCAAGTGCCCAGGTACCTACAAAAACATTGTGGAACTGCAGTTTTATGATCATTGGTGGGAAATGTCCATAAACAATAATTATTAATAAACAATAATGGCCTACTAATCCTTTCTGGCCCACAGTTCAAACATTAGTCGCTTAAATGACTTAATATTGGAGCTAATAGCTCCATCACCAGGTCAGGATGAAAAAATTCCCTTCACTCGGGGTATATTGTCAGCGGCACATAAACTTATGCTAGATTTTATAATATGTGTGTGTGTTATAATTTACTGTATTATCAAACTTTGTATGAAGTAGGGATGGACGGGTCTCGAGATTTCGGGGAATCGTCTGGAATTTTTAAATCTCGCTCTACGAGATGAGATTTAATTATGATCAAGATTTTTTTTGAGACGAGATTGATTGTAAAAAAAACGAAAAAACGTTTAAAACGCCTGCAGAAAGTCAATGCAATACCCGCAATACAGGAGCGCGTTGTTGTTGCGTTTCTTTTGTGAAGGCGTTCTCCATCAAAACAGCCTAGTCACAGAGAAGTAATCACCATCTCTCCCTGTGGCATAGTTAAAACAAATAGGGCATGATTTAGAACAAATTTCCTGCATCGCCACTTCCCTCATAACCTAAAGTGTTCTAACGTCCAAGAGATTTTTTTTCAAAGCCACTTATATTTTCTTCCTCTTAATGCCTTCTAGTTTGAGATCCAGCATTGACTATACAGGGTGTTCATAAAGGGGCGTTACAAACTTCAGGGGCTGATAGTACTAATCAATCTAAAAAAAGTTCATATAAACATAGGTCGAAAAAAAATTCTTTTAGCTGCTAGCTTATATTTCGTGTGTGTTTTTTTACACAATTTATATCTCAAGAATTAATCAAGCTACGGAAACCAAACTTTACACATACATTAATTGTGTCAAGAGGCAACTACAAAAAAATAATTATGTAATTTTCTTTTAAATTAACAAAATGACGGCCATTTAAAATCTATAAACTTTAATTACTAAAATATGGCTGATTTTATGAAAAATGTCAAGAACACTTTAATTTAGCATTTCATTTGTAATTCCTATCAATGAATACCAAGTTCAAAAAGTTTGGGGAATTAAAATGCTAAATTAAAGGGTTTGAATTTTTTCATAAAATCAGCCATATTTTAGTAATTTAAGTTTCAAGATTCTAAATGGCCGCCATTTTGTTAATTTAAAAGAAAATTACATATTTATTTTTTTGTAATTGTCTCTTGACACAATAAATGTATGTTCAAAGTTTAGTTTCTGTAGCTTGAATAGTTCTTGAGATATAAACTGTTTTGTGAAAAATACAAAATGGCAGCTAGCGGCTAAACAACTTTGTTCTACCTATGTTTTGTGAGTCCCATGTCTCTCTTAAAATAAGGTCTCTTAAAGTTAAATTCGCTTAGTTGTTGTAGAGTGGTGAAAGGGTGTAAGAGACATAAGACTGCTTAAGGTGTGACTAAACGTGTACCTAATAAAACAAAAGAAGTACAAAGGGTGACAACACCAAATAAGAACTTTGAAAAAACAAAAAAAAACTAAAGATTTACAACGGAAAGGAAGAAGTTAAATAAATTATATTACTTGTTTTTTTTTTACATCTTTATAAATTTAGTTTTATTTTTACATGCTGCTAATGGTCCCTGAAGCACACGAACAGACACACGCACTCCGAATACACCGATTTTCGTTCCAGCCCACCGTAATCTCCTCGATTTTTCCTCTCAGGTCCCCCAACACCAAGACTCGTCACCCCTCCACCTTCTTCATAAGACCTTCTCATTGGCTGATTACCAATAGGGTGTGTGGCTTATAGGTTAAAGTTGTTTCTCAGAAGTCAGCCCTACCGGTCATTGCCCAGCTCACGTCAGCTGGGAAAGGAATTTGAAAATTGAAGCTCATGCTACTGTTCAACTCTGTTTACACCAACTGGTCGACTAAGTGTAACGTGAACAGTGTCTGCGTAGATGATCACCGTGGGTACAGGGTTAATCCCCTTTCTTACAGTTTATATGAATTTTTTTGTTTAGATTGATTAGTATCAGCCCCTGAAGTTTGTGACACCCCTTTATGAACACCCTGTATACTTTTGACACCTTTGCATTTGATACCTCCGCCTCCGACTTCAAGCACGACTGATCCATTGCTGATGAGTGTATGCGAGAGTGTGTAAATGTGTTTTTTTTCTGTTAAATTTGCATTCTTTTTCATTTTTTTTAAATTGTAAAATATGTATATGTTTAATTTGATTAAGTAATCCCATTGTATTCTTATTTCTTTCTATATTTTTATGTATGTCAGGTTAAGTGTAAAAGATGATAACTTATCTGATCATACCTTATAATCATACCTTATATGATTGAGTGTTAAGAGGCAAGAGCCCTAGCTTTGCCTGATAAAGAAATTTTCATTTAATTTCCCAAATGTTATGTGAACGCAAATAGGACTAACCACAAGCTGCATACAAGCAAGATATGCACTATCAAGGAACTTAGAAACATGTCTGCTTAAGACTTACACGTCTTGCAGAATATTATACAGGGAGAAAATTGTTGAGTGCCATACTGTGCTCGCTTGTCCTGGTGTCCTCCCCTGGAAAATTGGATATTTTTAAAGCTGTTTCTAGAACTGTATCCAAAAACTATTATGCTTAAATTTATATTTCCAAGGTCCAATGGCTTTAGCCACAATAGCCCCCTTAGAACTGTCACTGAATATGTGGTACAAAGAAACGACAATTAATTGACAACTCTCATTTTATAAATAATTTTGAAAAAATTATAACTCCGACAATTCAGTTGTTTGTTCTTCCTTATCCCAGGACGTTCTTTACCGATTTACAGAATAAACCTTACTTACATTAATTTATTGAGTCCTGCTGTATTAAAAAAGATAGATAGCTGACAAGCGACTGACTGAGCCCCACTGTGTGTGTGTGTGTGTGTGTGTCCAGTTTTCCGCCAGATAACAAGCTAGGCTAGAAGCGACCAGCAAGTATGCGGACGGCCCTGCTCCACTGTTTTTTACCTATACCGTACCATTAAACAATTACTGACTTTACTCAGGATTGGGCCAGCAACAGGCTGATTAACAAACGTGCAATGAAATCACTCGATCTTTACAGGTCTGGGGAGCCTGCCAGGAGGGTGTCTGACCATGAGTACACAGCAACTTGGTCCGAGCTTCATCGGTCTTACTCTAACAGTCTCGCAACTCCTCGCAGCTTGATAGAAGACTTTGCGGAAAATAAATCTCACTTTTGGTACGTCAAATGAGAATAAATATATGTTCATAGTTAACAATTTTGACATCCCCATTGGGATATTGTAATAATAGATATTGTAATATATAACCAAATAGAGTTTTGGCAGGCCTAGCAGCAGTAGCAGCTTTAACTCAACTCTCTGTTCTTATTACCACCTCATCACCTTTGTACAATGTTGTACCAACACCACCTTTGTAGAAATATTTTTAACCGAATTCATAGTTCATTATTATCACTAAACAACACTTCCAGAGGAACAGTGCTATATTAATAAATTAACAACTTGAATACCCCTGCTTGTAGCACGATAAACATAACCTTACGAATCACTACAGTATTCAAACTCTTATTTGACTGATCAGTGATCTCATAATAATTGTGTTGATGGATCGCAGCACTCAGAGCTCGTGGCAAAAGATAAAACTACTGTTTGGACGGAGTACCAAACGCCACATTAGAGCCTGATGCAGCGCTGTGATTGGTCAAATATTTCCAGTATTTGCAGTTCATATGGGAGTTTGGACTCATACCTACTACTGAGTCCCGTACTCCTCCCTCCCCTTCACCTTCCTTCCGCTCCTAGCACGCTTTACAACATAGTAAAAAAAATCCTAGCCTGGTGCCGCCCCTGCCCCCTAGTGCCCTGGAGCGACTGCTCCACTCGCTCCACTGTCTTTAGGAGATGACATCATTGTGAATTGGCAAAGATATTGGCCGACATTTTGAATGTGGTGCAGCTTCCTATGACCCATATGCAACAAAACCTCCTAAACTATCAACAATTTGCAGTCAAACAGTTTTACTTTCCACAGCAATGTAACCGCAGAAAAAGACGAACCACAGCCGGAGTCTACGATGTCGTGTGGAGACAAAGTAATTCCACCAAGGACCACAGACTCTGGTGTTCAGGTCAATATGTTCCACTGCTTGGATTGTCGGCGGCATTTGATGTACGGAAAGTAAGTATTGCTACATCCTCATTGAGATAAGAACCAATTACACACACATTGGAAAAAAGAGCAACAGTTGCTCTGATAAAATGTGTAATGTCTACAAAAAATCCCCCTGATTAATCTGGTCCAGTGGCAATTCAAGTTTTCTGGAATAGTGAAAGAATGGATCCAATGGAAATATCTTACTTTGATTAATGATAATGCTGTTTCCAAACCATTTGAGTACGCCATGTAACAGGAAATAAAAAAAGGATTATTGTACGCATTATTGTAATAGTATATTATGCTTTTGAAGATTTGCAAGAAGCAGGTATACAATTATAGACAAAATCCCATGTAAGCAGTTACGTTTTTTAATTTGTTTCATAATGATTTTGATATTGAAAGAGTTATTAAATATTTCTTGTCTGATAGCTGCGGTTAGTTTCATGTAAATTTTTTGAGGAATTTGTATTATATAGTCCATTTACAAAATTAAGGTGGTTTAAGGGGAAGGTTTCCTGAGTTCCCCCACCACCTTTTTAGCTTAATTTAGCCTATATCAGCTGATCAGCTGTTGTTTCAGCAAGTTAAGGTGAGGTAGTGGGATTTCCAATCCGGGATTGGAAGCGCTTCCTCTCAAATCGCCTGAATTTTGTGAACGGTGTGTAATAAATTTGTTATTTCAAAGATGTGTATGGTTTATGACAGTGAAATTTTTTCAAAGGAAGAGTTGGCAACTGATTCATACTGCAAAATATTACCTAGATATGGACTTTCCACGAGTCATACTACTTATCTATTGCTTTCCAGGGTTCACATTAGTTTTCTCTACGGAGTTACCCGCTTGTCACTTCACAGCACTTCACAGTTCACTACACACCATCAAATGTGGAGTTTGAAAAGCCAGGTTTCAATCAGACTTTATCACTGATATAATTTTTTTACAGATCATTCAAACTAGAAAACAGCTGTGGTGGGAGTGACTCAGAAAATCACAATATATCCTCAATTACCTGCTCGAACTGTGAATGGTAAAGCTTTTATCAATTTATTGTATTCAATCTCTTTATCTTCAACTTCTGTAGATTATCCCCAATAAGCTCCTGTCACGGACGAGATAGCCATCAAATCTGACACCAGCCATGTTCTTTATTTCTTTTACTACTATTCTATAACACCTGTGTGATGTTAGTAGCCCATAACAATGAGAGGGAATATTGACGCTGCTAGCAAATATGTGTGATGGGAAGGGGGTCGAACACCTTTTAACATGCTCTGCCAATCAATTTCCGGATTTACCTATACAGAAAAGTGTGTGAAGATAAAAAAATTGCATAAGTGGCTTACAGAGTACCGGTAAACAAAAGGCTGAACACATCAATCGCAAACCAAGGCAGTGCAGCGGGTGTTAATCAGTTTCTGTAGATACAATGATTAAAGGGTTTGCTGATCAGCATTTTTAAGATTTAAGGATTTACCATTGATCTTGATAGTCATAGAAATATCCCATATCAGTTCAGTCACGTTGTGATCCACATACCAAAATAAAGTCTTCTTTGGTTACTGGATGAATGAGCGCGGGATGGATGACGGCCTATATACCATGCAAAATATTACAAACCCCTTCCAAACTCTTTCCAACTCTTACGCACTTTAACAAACACTCAAATACTTGTCTCCATCCACGTCCGTCAACTAGCAATGGAGTTCAATAGGGATTGATACCTTAGGAAATAGAAATATAATTTGAGAACGCAATTCGTACCTGGCAATAGTGTATTTTCCCTCACGTTGTTATCAATTTATCTACGTCACTAGTTTTGTCCCATAGGGATATAGACCAACTAGGACACTAGAGGAGAAGTAAAAAGTTTTCTCGGTGGTTGAGTATATAGTGCTCCCCTTCAAACCTGAAGATCTCTGGATCCATCCCAAGTGAGATTAGATTTTACCAGACCCAGATGCCATTTATATTTGGGTTATCATTATGCTATATGCTCGACAAAAGGTTGATGTTAGATAGTGACAAGACCAGGGTTTGCAACGTTCCCTTACAAAAAAGGTAAAAAAATGCCAATGGTATGGATCGATGAACACAAAAAATAAACAGAAAGATTAGGATGCTGATGTCAGATTTTATTTAGCTGGATTGGCCATAACAGGAGATCGTAGGAAACTTTAACTTAAAAACGACCCTTGTATATTTTTTCTACCTTTTTTTGCTGTGAAATACTCAGGTACTAAAACCACTTGTAAGATTATTGTATTGGTATTTCAGAAACAAAGTAAACTTTGAGAATTCAGTTTTAACATTGAGTATACACGTACTAGAGTAGCCACTTAATGGAGGTCGTTACCTGTACAGCTCTGTTCCAGAGTAGGGTCAGCGGCCCGAACTACTTCACCGAATGCTTGTCGGTAAGGCAGTTTGATTGTTTTTGATTATGCTTTCATTGTAGGTTGTAAAATGTCATATTTGTTGATGAAATTCTTTTGTTTCTAGTTTTGTTGTATTATAATAAATTTTTAATACTAAAATGGTTAAAAGGTCCTCAGAGGCGCACTGCACTACCGACAGACTACCGTGACCCAAGCGTCAGCTGCCCAAACTACGTAGCCAAAATCGGTAACAACTAGCATTATGTGACAACTCTCATACGTGTATACTCAATGGTTTTAATGAAGATCATGAACAAAGCTAGTCTGTTAGTAAGTGTTGGTGTGGCAAACAAGATGCTAGTATACGTCATTATGCTGTAGACTTTTACTTTGGCTTGGTGAAATAGTCAGTGAATGCTCTTTCACTCTGTCACTGGCTCAAACTCAACCACGTCCATTTTTAGTCCAATACTGACAGCTTTAACATGGGAATCTAAAATGGGAGTCTAGGTCTCTCAATTTACAATTTTTTGTAATTTTCTCCAAGGCACATAACAGCGCTTCAATATACTAAATTATTTGTTTTTTTGAGCTCTTCAAAATGGTTTGGAAAGAAAATGTAAAATTTTATGTTTTTAGGCTCAAAATTTTTATCCTATAAAACCCCCCATAAACCACCGTTCCCATAGTCCGATCATGCTGGTTAGCAAACTCGTTTGAATAAATTTAAACCTTGTTTTTTGCTTGAGTTATCGAGCTAACGGACACCTATATTTTTATAAATATAAATTGCACCCTAACAGAGGAAGGAAAAGTTTTGCATCTATTTAGGTTGAGTGTTTTAAAAACATTAAGTCAAAAGACCATAATTTATGGAATTTGACAGAATAAAAGACTGATTTACTTGTATTAATTCCATTGTTTTCAGTGAGGAACCAGATGTAAAAGGTGACACAGACAGAAAACCAAATTATCTCCCTAATGCTCCTCAGGCAGGAAATTTTCACGCAATGCTACAAAGGAGTAAGCATGGTTAAGATAAATGTTGCCAATTATTTCATAACTGTCCACATGAACTTTATTATTCTTAGCTTGAATGAGTTTGAAATAAATAAAGCTTAGTAGGTACTGTGGATACACAATAAACTGCAGTATCATAGGTGGTGGCTTTTGCAGATGTGTCCACAAAAAGTTGCAGTTATCATGGCATTAAACAAGTTGTCTTCTAAGGCCCCCTTCACACTGGGCCACCATGGTGGCGACACCATAGTGGCTACGTTACATTATCATTGATTTAAATGGGACATCTTCACACTGAGCTTTGGTGGCGCGTCTGGCCGCGCGACTAGAAATGCGGTGGCTCGGGGTTGCAATTTTCAAAGACACCAGTCTGGTGGCGCCACCACGTCGCACCATGGTTTCTTATCGGACTCTTCACATTGGAGCGACTGGCAGCGCCACCGGTTACTACCAGCTGGCATTCAGTCTACTATAAACTTTTATGATAATAAATATGGGGAAACGTTTGTTTTATATAGGAAAGAATTTATACCCTATTTCATTAACATCTTTTCGTCATTGCAATGTATACATTGTGTCAAGGTTTTACAGTGTTATTAATAAATGGCATATTAACTATGTTTTATTTCATTTGCCTCAACGTACTGTAGCAGTTTCTCTTCTGGAGGTATGCTGTCCCACAGTCTCGTACATTGTCCTGATATTTTTAATTTCAGACGTCCCAGAAACTCATCAAAACTTAAAACACTCATTCTTGAGTAAGCGTAAAAGTCCTCTTAAAAACGGATGAACCCAAAAACTACGTTTTATCCTATGTTTTCACAATTTAAAAATATATATATACGCCAAGCACCTGCTTTTTCGACGTCCAAATGTGAGATTTGTGGCTGCAGCTACACTGGTGGCTGAGCTGGTGGTCCATGCACATTTTGACCGGCCACCAGTGTCGCCACCGGTGTCGCCACCATGGTGGCCCAGTGTGAATAGGCCCTAAGTAAACAGCCACACTCTAGGAAATGGTTTTATGGGTTCAATCAAAATAAAACAATAATCAAGAATAACATGTTTTGAAACAATGCTTTGTTGGCGAGATGTCCGCCATTTTGTTTTTAGTATTTAAAACTATTAAAGATATTTTTATGAGATTAGGTATATGATATAATAAGTATCAATAATCCATTTGCACTACAATCTCTAACAAATATTATTTGGTTTTAAAATTGTGGCCATTGTAATTTGTTAACTTATAACTTAAATTACAAAATAATGGGTAATTTTAGAAAAAATTACACAAACAATTTCTTTAGCATTAAAAATTTCCTATGAGACAACACCAAGGTCAAAAAGATCGAAGAGGAAATATAACTGATATATCACGATTTCTTTGTCATAAAATAAGGCTCAATGAGAATATAGCTTATTTTGCCTAATTATGCAACTAATGATAGCCTCATGGTAAATGGAATCTGGGTCCAAAATCGATCTTCCATGGAATCAAACCTGCATTTTCATATTTGATGGCGAGCCCAGCCCCTAGACAATTCTCCCCTTCTCCAGTACCAATCTTATCTACAAAAAAGTCGATACTACAGAAGCAAGACGAGACATGCTATAGTCCACACAAGATGTTTTTAAAAGTCATTAAAATATTCCATTCAACAATATTTTATTTCTTACTCGTGTTTTTCAGCATGTACATAGTCTAAACTGTTTTTTTTTTTTACTTTTAGGTAAGAAGTTTTTGTGGTTGTTTGACAATATCAAGTTTATGACAATTGCCCTTTTGATAATACCTCTGATTTTTTATCTGATGCAATTACAAGTGTTTACATCAGCAATTAAACATTTGTTGGGACATCAAGTTGAAGAAGAACCTCGTGACAATAGTTTTATTCCTGGATGGATCTATGATTTCCTCTTTCGCATCCAAATCCGACCGCTCATGACGAAATTGTTTTGAGGATTAAAAATAAATTTAAAACACCAACAATTGTTGTTTTTCCCCTAACTAGGTTTGTTGCCAATTAGTCTTTTTAGGTCTATATTCTCTCCTTTGGTACTCTTTAATTGAAAGGATTCCCAAACACATGTCACCAGCAAAAATCCATTGAAGTATTTGTTTAAGTGAAAATGTACCTACGTTAAAATAGAATTTAAGTATAACCACATACACAATCATATTGAAAACTTATTCAAACTATCACAGATAAGTAGTCCCATTGCTCCAAAATGATTCGATCTGAACCAGTGACGTAGCCAAGGAAGGGGTTTTGGGGGTCATAACCCTTTTAATCCTTATTGACGAAAGGATTTTGCCACCATCGCAGGAGAAGACGATGATTATGTGTCCGTGAACATGAAAGATGTTAATGAAAACAAATCAAACATGTTATACTAATAGATTATTTAAATTTCCCAATTTCATACAAAATTCACGTCCATTTCCTGGTTGGCTAAACATCCTGTAAGCGTAGGCTACTACTGTGTAAGTGTGAAACTAAAACATTAGGGGTGAACCCTACTTACTACCTACATCTTTTCCTCAAACTTTGCACTCAATAGAATCTTTATGCAATATTCAAATATGGTGGCCTCATTTATTTCTGTCCTAAAGATTACGGGGCTTGCCCTAAGAAGGTCAGCTACGTAAAACCACTGACTGTATGGTAAAACCCCCTTCCCTTTAGATAGGGACTGAACCCATTGGGTCAAATATTTGATTATCCCAGACAAGTCAATCAGATGTACTACGAATGGGAAAGTTCTCCTTCAATTGAGGAAATATGATAACCGGTCAGCTTTAGTTGAAAAAATCAAAAAAGCCCTGTTGTTAAGGGTACCATTTGAGAACTCAAACCTGGGACTTCCACGGAGATGTGGGACCTTGACTGACTCCACGGAGGCCATCACAAAGGCCATCCCTGAGATACAGAATGCTGACTCCATGAAGGTATGGCTCACTAAACCCAACAAAAGTGAGCAATGCATGGCGTTTGCGGAAATGTAAGACCAAGATGCCATTAAGGCCATGACACACGTAGCGACTTTGCATATACAGAGTGTTTCAGTAAAGCGTAGCGGGCTATGCAGATTCATATTCTACATGCAAAAATAAGTCGAAAATGTAGAATAATTTTTTTTCTATTTCGGCCTTAGTTTGGCCGTAATCCGCCATTTTGTATTTTTTTGAAAATAATTAATAACTCAAAAACCCTTGGAGATATTTTTATGAAACTTGGTATAAACTTTAAGTCTAAAGGTATAAACATTCTCCGAAAATATCTTTGATCAGGCTCATCAAATTTCAAAATGGCGGCCATTTAAAAATTTTTTAAGTAAAATTCAATGAAAACCGGCCATTAAAACAAAGATTTTAAATGGTCGCCATTTTGAAACTGGATGAGCCTGATCAAAGATGTTTTCGGAGAATGTTTATACCTGTAGACTTAAAGTTTATACCAAGTTTCATAAAAATATCTCCAAGTGTTTTTGAGTTATTAATTATTTTCAAAAAAATACAAAATGGCGGATTACGGCCAAACTAAGCCGAAATTGAAAAAAAGTTATTCTACATTTTTTACTTATTTTTGCATGTAGAATCTGAATTTGCATAGGCCGCTACGCTTTACTGAAACACCCTGTATATGTTTGTTTTTATTTTATCGTTATTGTTTTTATGATTTTTTTTAAATGGTGAAATGGTTTTTTGCAATCTGGGTGACGTCAGCATATGACGGTAATAGCACACCTATGTTTTTCCTTACACCATGCCTTAGTTCCTTATCACTGAATAGGCCTAACAAAATTAAATGATGACAACATATTATTATTAACATCAATTTTTATGGAGAATTTTGTAAAATGTTGTAGTTTGCTTGTTTATGGATATACCTATATTTTGATCAAACTTCACAAATTTATTTGATTTTATACTAGACTAGCAGAGCACCCGTCCTTCGTACGGGGTTGGCATATAAGTATAAAATGCTTATTGCAGATATGTATACTCAAGCTTTGTGTTTGCAATGGGGGGAGGACACAGTTTGATAAAATTTGGTTCATATATTTACGGTATGATATAGTATAACACATCTACCATTGAGATAATGTTCTACCATTGCACCTAAACAATAGAAGAAAAAAATAAATTAACAAACATTCGCACAATATCACAAATTATTCATTACATTAAAAACTCAAACCTAACTGTAAGCCAAAACGGCACACGGAAGATTTCTTAGGTGCCGTTTGACGTCACTAACTGCTGACGTCACTTTGAGGGAACACCAATACCGCAATAATGCGGGTTTGAGTCATCGGCCTCGGTGGTGTAGTGGATAGCGTGGCCGGTTGATAATCCAAATGTACCACCGGGTTCAAATCCCAATGGTAGCACTAACTTTTTGTCAAAAATTTTTTTCATATCAGCAAGTTTGGTTGGTTTGGTTAGGTTATGACAGTTTAATTTTATAATTATAAAATTGAATTTTAGGCATTTATAATTTTATTTTATGAACAAAACTAACCTATTTTTTTTTTAGATTAGTAAATCTTCATTCAATTTGTCCATTATCAGCACGTTTGGTTAGGTTATGACAGTTTAATTTAATAATAGAAAAATTATAAAATTGTCTGTTTCTTCAGATGCAGCAGTTAGTGGCGTCAGCAGTTAGTGACGTCAAACGGCACCTGAGAAATCTTCCGTGTGCCCCACCGAACTGTGAACAATCTTACTTTGACAGTTCTCATTGTGTATCACAGCTTTTTGTTGCTGCTTAATTCAAATTAGCTGTTGTCATATATGCACAAATAAAATAATAATAGTGCTGCACCCTGTTGGGAAACCTTACAACTTTTTAATGCTATTGCATATTATATAACCAACTTGTGAAGTTGAAAGAAACAGCTGACTGAATTCTTTAATTCCCTTTAAATATGAATACTCATAAGGTTAACATGGGGAACTACTGACCCACTGAGGCAGAGCCCGAAAGGATTTTTGAGATAAGAATATGCCTAAATGTTAATAGGGAATGTGAGCTATCATCATGCCAAATTTCAGCCCAATCCGTCCAGTAGTTTATGCGTGATTGAGCAACACACAAACAAACACACAAACTTTCAGATTTATAATATTACTAGCTGTAACCCCCGGGCTTTGCCCCGTTTAACTTCTTAATTTTCAAGATGATCTCGTTCGCATGGCTCAAATGTACTCGTTATACCTAATGTTATTTAAATAGATTAAACATAATTGAAAATCGATTCAGGGATTTAAATGAAAATTTGCTTAGTCGACAGGTTTTCTGCGGCGGCGTATTTTTTTAAAATTTTGTAGTACTTAAATTTAGAGTGATACGTAATTTAAAAATGTAAGGTTTCTTTTTATTACCAATAGGACTTCTGCAGAGAACCTACAAACAATGTAAGTTAGGCCTACTATCAGATTAGGGCCTAAATTATTTGCTTAATCTGATGAAATATTAATTTGTTATAAATATTAGGTAAAAATAAAATATTTTAATCAATAAAATATGAATTTTGAATAGGCTCGCTTCACTATAGAATGTAAGCTAAAGGTTGATTTTCTGTCCACTCTTTCACAGTGAGCTGCTAGGTCAGTTTAGTTTATGAGAATCGTGAACACAAGAATAGGCCTACGAATACAAATTGACGACTGTAGGCCCATAAATTGTTTTGTTTTACAAGTTTAAGTTTAGGTAATTCCAAAAAATATCAACTTTTGTTTTTATAGGCTACTTAAATCTTGCCTCGTTTTTTAAGATCAAAAATTAAACTAACTTAAGTTAGCCTAAGCCAAACTGAACAAAACGAACGTAACCAGGCCGCCACATCACGGCGTGAATAAAGCCTTCTTCATAAACATGTAATTTAATCGATATTCACCTATATAGCGTTAAAACTAAATACAATAAGTAGGCTACTATCTAGCTGTAGGCCTATCTATATATCGAACTAATATTAGGGTTTATTAGTCAGGTCGTCTTCATATGACATGTATTATGTAAGTCTGAATGTAACGTCTTGCCATCATTGTATGTAACTTAGCCTATATGGAAATGGAGTTTTCCGTCTGTAAATAAATAAATATTTCATCCAATAATATGTTGAAGGTTCTCTGCAGAACTTTAGGGCCTACCCCTTTCTGGGGCAGTTAAGTACAGTAAGTATAACTGTCCCACAGAACAATCGAATGAATATATATATATATATATATATTGATTATTTCATTCAGTCAAGTTTGGTTACCTAGTTAGGTTAGGTTAACCTAACTAACCGAATTAAATAATCGATATATCGAATAATCTATCTATATATCGATACCGGTATACTTAGCCTAGGCCTAGTCATTCGATTGTTCTGCGGGACATTTATGAGCCTGCAGCCTTAAAGGAAAAGAAAATCAAAGTTAAAAACTGATCTTACCAATAATAAGCCTGGCTTGAGGAAAACTTCCATTTCATGTGACATGAGATTTTATTGCTAATTAGCTATAACACATTTCATTACATTACATCATTGATTACTTGTCTGAGTCTTAGTGGTTTGAAGGGTACTTGTAGTGTGGTCCATCAGATGGGAATTGCCTTTTTGCATGTGGTAGATGCACTTTAATGTCGTACTTGTCACACAGATAAATTGGGACAAAGAAAAATAGCAGGATACCAATATACATTGCAAATTGTACTCTATTTGGAATTTGTGACTTCTCATCAAGGTTACAATCGAGTCGATCTTCAGAGATAATATTGGCATCTAGGTGCATAGTCTCATTAAAATCCTTCTTCAAATGTGGATGGTCCCAGTTGTAAACATCGGACTTTGTTGCACCAGAAATATTTGGCAAAACAGGGTAGTCTCCTTTACCTTCAGGGTCTGCATAATATTCCTCAGGAAGAAGTCCATATTTCTTGGCTGCTGCAGCTTTTTCCTCAGGAGTCTTCGGGTATGGCCCTGGCATGAAATCTTTGTTCCATGCAGCGATCCCTCTTCTAGAGTAGGCAAACAAAACATTGGGCAACTTACTTTTTAAAATGCTTCCCTTTATAACATTCATCGTTTAAGAATTTTTGATAGGGTGCTTACTAATAAACTTTTAACTTAAAATCTTACTATGTATGTTCAACCTTCACACAGTGACATTATTCTTTCACCCAGCCAGAGAAGAATTTAACTTACTTAGTTGTACTTGACACAATAAGAGAAAAAATCAGCAGACAGCAGGAGCACTAGGAGCAGACAACTCACAAACAAGTCCATAGAGAATCCAACAAACGCAGAGATGAAAAAGCTTTGTTAGTTGAACGTCAAAACCAGTGGTTAGAACCTAAACTGTTAGCATACTATATGAGACGCATTATCACTTGGTGTACAACGAAGTTGTTGTCTGCAATACTGAGGGGAGCAAGCACATGAATCCTATATAATTTTGAGAAATATATCCACAAATTCACTGTTTACAATAAATTTGGAATGTTTGGAGTTAATGATGGAAGTTAATCCTTCCCGTAGTGGCCGTAGTTGGTCACTTCTTGTAGTTTAATTGAGTAAATTTCGTGCTGATCGCATCAGCCATTTAGGAGGAGTATTTTGTCAAACAAAAGCAGGAGTGTATAAGAGCTTCACTTGCTCTGCTCAATTCTCAATCATCACAGCTAGGAGTTCTGTGACTGTGATAAAACCACAGCCACCTTTAACTACTGGCCGCGGCCTGGTAGAATTGGCAACGTCGCATCGCAAGTGGTATTGTTTAATGTTTAGTGACAGACCGACAACGTCCCTATGGATAACAGCAGACAGGTGAAATCAGCTCATTAATTCGCACTTTATTGATTTAAATTTATAAATATACTAGCTTTGTGCCCGTTCTACGCACGGGGATCTTGTCGTAGTCAGTTAAAACCTTCTTATATTAAGCCATAGATAAAACATAAGCACAGCAGTTGGTTTGCATACTTTCAGACACAGATGTTTACTAAACTATTTTGTAAACGAGACTACTAGCGCTATGCATCTGGAAACTTTAAATGTTAGTACTATGGACTTTTGCTAGGTGGCAGCACCGTCCATTTGTTTACATTCTGACAAATAACTCCTAGAAAACAGCTGTTCCTGGTAAAATACTCGTGCCCAAGATCCCGTTTTTATTTTCATGCAAATGAAAGATATGCACATAATGTAACCCTTCGTTTTAATATTATAGGATACTAGCAGAGTACCCGTCCTTCGTACGGGGTTCCCTGTTGGAATATAAGTATAAAATGCTTATTGCAGTTATACTCAAGCTTTGCGTTTGCATAACACAGTTTGATAAAATTTGCTTTTTTAAATTTACAGTATTCTATAGTATTACACATCTACCATAGCCATAATGTTCTACTACACCTAAACAATAGAGAAAAAAAATTATCAACAATTCGCAAAATATCACAAATTATTCATGAAATGAAAAACATAACTGTAAACAATCCTACTTTGACAGTTCTCATTGCGAATCACAGTTTTTTGTTGCTGCTTAGTTCAAATTAGCTGTTTTCATAAATGCAAAAAAATGTAGTGCTGCACCCTGTTGGTAATCCTTGTAACTTTAATGCTTTTGAACATCATAGAACAGAACCAACTTGTTTAATTGAAACAGCTGTCTTATAATCTTATAACTTTTTAATGCTTTTCCATATCATAGAACCAACTTTTTAGTTGAAACAGCTGATGACTAAATTCTTTAATTCCCTTTATAATATACTAGCTGTAACCCGCGGGCTTTGCCCCGTTTAACTTCTTAATTTTTAAGATGATCTCGTTCGCATGGCTCAATCACGTCCTGGTTGAAGTTCGTTCGCTACGCTCACTCACCTTTAGGTTGGAGCTCGTTCGCTACGCTCACTTGCCTTCAGGTTAGCTCGTTCACTACGCTAATTCGCCTCCAGGTTGCCTCCATTTTAGTTGCAAATTAGCTGTTGTCATAAATGTAAAAGAAATAATAGTGCTGCACCCTGTTGGTAATCCTTGTAACTTTAATGCTTTTGAACATCATAGAACAGAACCAACTTGTTTAATTGAAACAGCTGTTAAGATTCATTAATTCCATTTCTCATAAGGTTAACATGGGAAACTCCAGAGCCACTGGGGCGGAGCCAATTAATTGGACGGATCACGAAATTGATGGTGTATAAACCTATTCCATAAAATTCTACACGTATGTACAAAGTTTCATGGCAATCGGTTCAGCGGTGTCCGAGTTTATCACTGCCAAATATATATACAAACATCCTCTTTTATAATTATAGATTTTTGTTTGGACAACAATGTACGTTTAAATAGACTTATACCTATACAGAAAAACTTAATTTACCGGGTAAGAAATACACATCAATAAGCAATACATTGTATTTTCGATTTTCGATATATATATAATTTGTACAGTGCGGTCAATATTGAGATCACTATTTACATATACAACAAGAGCATTTATAATATAATGTAAAACACAAATCTTATTTAACTCAAAATTAAGAACTATACTTATGTAAACAAGTATCCAACAATGGTTCCCAGGCTAGAACGCAATGTTCAAATACATCAATCCTGAGACTGTTTTAAACTTTACTCAGACTGGATCTCGCTATCACACAGCTAACAGGCATTGGTAATTCACATGATTTGGACCTGGGACCTCAGGAACTGAAGCCCATTTTTAATGCTCTACCATTATACCAGCTTGCTCCCTCTAACATTGCAATTAGCATTAATAACGGTAGAAGAGGAGGGGGGGGGGTTTAAGCTGTCATGCAAATTTTAGAATCTCTGTGTATTCTTGGTTAGGTTGTTTTATTTAGGCAATGCTGAGTGGGGGTGAACAGGATTCTCTGGATTTTTTTCAAACCATGTGTGTCATTCTTTTGGATCATGGTATAATTTGGAAAAAACAAGAGAGGACATTTTGCTCTCTCTCCAACGATTTAGAAAAAGGTTTGAAAATTGTTGGTTACTGTATTAAAAGTATTACTCATGTAACGGTCGTTTTTAAGAATACAGTAATCTAAAATAATCTCAAATATAATCTGGTACTGGTACAGTTTATATGCTCACTATTAAATTTACAAAAATATTTAGCTGATATTGGGCACTCGAAATGAGTTACTATATATTTAAACAATGTGAAAGCCACGTAGGTATTGGAAGTGTTTTAAAAACTATTTACTTTTTACAATATTTATAGTATTGTATTTATAATTTATAAATGAAAAAAAACACTTTAATTAGTCAAAAAAGTGCAAAACCAATGTAATTTACCTTTCATATACAACATATTTGTCAGAGTTTGTTTTGAATAGTAGGCTACCAACAATAACAATGGTTATACTGTATCTGGTCTCTATAACAATCCTGTACTACAGCTCGAGAATACTGTAACAGTATAATTTTTCACAAAATAAAGGCAAATTCACAACGGGAGTTTTAACTGTTTTATGATATTTGAAACTACAACAATCAATTAACAGCAGTGTTCGATAAAAAAAAATGAGGTGCCCGAACTGTGACTTATTTATAATGTGATTTGTACCTATTTATGTCAATATTTTTATCTTCCCAAAAGAGAGGTACCGGAACTCCCGACGCCGTTATTAAATATTAACCGCATTCTTCCGCAAATCGAGCACTGATTAACAATATAGAACGAAATCAATAACATTTTACAACAAAATACCCAAACAAAAATGTTAACTTTAAATCCATATGGAGTTTCTTTGAACTTTAAATAGATAACTTGCATTAAGTTTAATATCTTAAACTCTAAAAATAAATAACAAGACAATTAAATGTTACTTTACAATAGAAAAAAGATATTCATTACACTAAATTATAACAGTATGAAAGAATTTTCCACATTCCTACACAGGATTAATTTTGCGCATAGAAAGGCACTTTTTGAAATTTTACCCACTTTGATTAAGAATTACTGCAATCTGAAGGAAAGGCATATCAAATAGACAATTCAAAATTTGAAAAACAAAAAAGTTAGATTTTAGGGGAGGCTTATAACACTACAAATGAAATGGAGTCAACAAGCTAAATGAAAAGTTGACAGTGGTCAAAAACCAAATTAACAGGTAGAAAAAAATGTTTGCATCTTGTGTGTTTTTAAGGTTTTTGGATAGATACTTGATATTCACAAATCCTCAAGAAAAATATTCTGCAACACCCGAAATAACATATTCTGTGAACTCATTCATGATCATACCTTATACATTAAACTAAAATAATTTGACAGCTTTGATACAAACACAGATTTCATTGTATTGTTTCTAAATAAATCACTATAAATTATTATTTTCACAATTGATTATTTTTAAGTTTTATTTAAATAATGCCACACCGCTGATTAATGAATTAAAAAAATCATTATAACAAACAAATTTGAATACATCGTTATCTAAACTAGTTTGTCCTCTACTTATTTTTTTAGTCTATGTATTGACTTCCCTAAAAGGAAAAGTTACCAACTAACTTAAGGCCTAAACCTGATTTTCTAGTAGCAATCTTAAATTGCTCATTTACTCACAGCACGATTAAAGCACTATTTTTATATTAGACTGTTTTGAACTTAATTATTTTTCTTCTGTCCACCAAAGTATAATGGCGTAACACAATAATACTGAATATAATAAACCAAACATGATAAACATAGAAACATTTCACAAATATAATTATTATACAAAGCTATCATTAAATGATACCATTCATTTAAGCAGATGTTTAAACATCATTACACAGGTCAATTTTATCAATATATCCAACTATACAATTATGCTAAGGATGTTGTAAGAAACTAAATAAAAGGTTTATCTAATGAGAGTATGGAATGTTATCTGATTTGTTTTGTATTTTGTAGCTTATTTCCTTTAAATGTCAAACTTTCAAAAATGCTGAGGAAACCCCATTGTCAAAAGGTGGATCATGGGCTATTTTTTTGAAACTTTTCTACTATTACTACCTAAACGATTTACAGCTCTAAAATACTCATTTCTTAAATTCATTCATGTCCATTCAAACAATCTATCTCATTTAAATAAAAAAATACATTATATAGTACGTAGAGTTTTAACTCATTGTGCTCTAGTCATTAAAATACAAATTACATAAACAAAATGTATACCTACATATTTAGCATTTCTCAAATGCTGAAAATAAATAAACAACTCCAGTTAGTAGTCCTACTACATATTATAAACTTTTTCACAACAAAATATTTACAAAGATAAAGCCATGTATAGGTATAAGAATTCACATACGAGGTATAAAGTCTAAGTTTTTTTTACAGCACTTACTTAAAAAACACACCTCATATAAAATTAACTTGTTTACAAATATATTTATATACACAAAAAAACCATTGCTTTTGTTACTAATCTACCAAGAGTCCCATTAAAATTATAATGAGAAGAAATTTATTTGTAATTATTGCATTTGTTCTAGTATTGTGTAACAAAAGTAGAACACCCCAATGAAAATGTTAGTCAGAATTTCAAAACGGCAATAGTTTTGTGTATAGGTAAATTATATACATATTTGACACTTAATACTCTAGAACACATTAACAGACTATAAAGCTATTACAAATCTAAATAAATTAAAGAAAGAATAGGCTAGTTAACTTTTTTTCAACTTAATCATACTACCTTTCCAATAGTCAATGATACTACTTTCCTAGATTATTATTAACCTCTAACTAAATTTTACTTTTGATCTTGAATTTAAATAAAATAAAACAAAAATAAACCTGAATATTTGCAACTTATGTGAAAGTTTTTTCAAGATTTAAGGGTTGACAATTAATTTTAAAGTATGCATGATCCTACCGTCATCTAAACTCTAATATGGCGATGCTTTGTTTGAAATTCAGTTCATTGGTGGTGATGGTGAGACTAAGAAATTATTGGAGCCATTTCCCATGGTGATTGGTTTCAAGTTTTAAACAACATTTAGGATTTAGAATCCGATTGTGTAATCTTGTGAAAACTTGAGAAATGTAAACTGTAATAAAGCGACTGTTTTCAATATACGCGTATGTAGTGGGGCTTAAGTAGTTCTTATATCTATAGCAAACAAAGTTTAACACAGGACCAAACTAGTCTTCTTAACCTTCGCTTGTATTCTCGATCCCAGCTTCGTATCGGTTGTTAAATTTAAGTTAGTGTTGAAAAGAGTCACTTTATAACCAGTCGTAAAATGTACTATTTTTCCAAGTCATGGCAGCCTATGAAAAGTATGTCATAAACATACTTCATAACATACTTTCATAACATACTTTCATAACATGTTATACTTTCTTTTGTATTATGTGATATTGACTATGTAGAACTTGAGTAACCACATTAACGTAACCTCAATAACAAAGCTTGAGGCAATACGTAGGTTAGGTTAGAAAGTTCAACCCTCTAGAGATATTCAGCTCGGTCCAGTATGTCTGTAGGCTGGACAAGTGACGTCTGCAAGACCCTGAGAAGCATCGGAGGGTGTGGTCAAAAGTCGTCTGCCGGAAGCATTCGGCTTGAACAGTGTGTTGCCACCTTTCTCTGGAGTCTTTGTAGTTACTGTGGCGTTTAGATTCCTGTAGCTTCCAACTTGGAAATTGCAACAGAAGTGCAAAACCTGTGTGAAAAATAGAGAATCATTATCAAACTGAATGTACGTGTCCTGGACAAAATTTTTATTCATTACATTGTTTCTGTATCAAATACTTGAGCATAAGTTTCTAAAGGTATTCAGTTTTGGCCAGCGGATTAACAACGGCACCTAAAAACTAGTGGGATTTTCAATTGCTCCACACATTTGCGACTTGAATACAACAATGAGCAGCGCAAGGACAATTACGTTGTGACAACTGGACAGTCACTGAGAAGGCGAACAAGTCTGTATTTGAAATTGTGTATTCGACAAGTGCCTAGCGGTGTAAGATCGAAATGTTCTTTACTTGTTCAATAGGCCTCGTTCATTATGTTAAGTTGTTTCCGTGACCGCGGGAGAGGAATATGATGTCTATGGGGGGCGCCATTCACATATAGTGCAGGGGGGCGCAGCTCAATGTACTTACGCCACTGAGTGATATCATGACAATATAGAATTATTGAGGACCAAAAGCCTTAAAACCACTTCAAACAATTTAGTATTCTCCTATAAACTGTACAATTCTGAATCCATTGGACTAGGAATATAATGAAGCCACTATGCTATGTAAGCTAATACAGGTACTGTATAATGGTTGAACACATATAAAACTAGTGTACCTGTTGCTCGAATTCGAGGAATTACTAAGTATTACAGGCGTTATTTTAAAACGAATAACAGTCATAATTTCTGATGACTTTAAAAGATCCAAATCATAGATTATGGAAATACTCAGGATGTACATAACAATCAATAATTAATCAATCAATCATTGAGATGGGGACGTCACTTAGGTGCGTATTTTAACCCAAATATGAGTGAAGGATGAGTGTAGAATGGTGTGAGATGAACTGTGTAGCTTTGTTACTGACTAAGATCAGTTGTTTCATTAGCCAGGATCATAACAGTTTGATATAATCCATATTTCTTGTAAATAGTGTTTTCTACTAATAGCCTTACTCATAGCCGCATTAGGTTGTCCATAATAACGATTATAAATTCTAAATTGTTCTCCTTGATTGTGTTCTATGAATTTACTATGTTTCCATAGTTTGCAAATAAGCTCTTTTAATGATTACTAAGAAATGCAACACAGTGTTAATTCGGTTTTCTTTTTAGTTTTTAGTATATCAAATTATCCAGGCTCTCTCGCTTTTTTCCATTGTAATATTTACGCCAACCCAAATTCAAATAGTGAATATTTCATTTCAATCAAGTCAGTAAATGTTTGTAGCAAACTCCTTGTTCCCGCCACCACCCCTGGCTTAAGTCTGGGACTTATTTGCCAGGCCAATTACCCGTGAAAATCTTCTTCCTTTTTAGGCTTCAGCAACTTTCAATCCTCGTCCAGACACATTATGTGTCCAAAAGCCTAACAGCACGACTCCCTTCCCCATACCGCCCTGAGGGATAGGGATCATTGAGATTCGCTCTAGTTTTCATTCCTTTTCTTTCTTAGTTTTTGTTTGTTTCTTTTTTTAATTTAAAAGCCTATATTTATCCCTGGTTTTTCCTATTTCCCTAGCTACTTTTCTAAACGTCTCAATCGTATCCTTATCACTCATCATGTTTTATTTTCTCATCTCTAGACCTCTCTTATCCAAGACCTACTCCTGTTAGACCCTCCTATTTATCTCCTGAAGTGAACAATTTATAAATACGTGACTCGTGGTTTTTATTTCTCCACATCTACATACGTCCTCTTCCACCAGGTGAAATCTCCACAAATTTGCCTTGAAATTTTCCATGTCCTGCGACAGACTACGTTTCGTAATGGCCCATCTCCCAATCTTGTCCCAGTCTCTTTCTGATGTTAGGTATATCCAAACATTTGCCTTTAAAATGTTAACATTAAAAACTCTGCTTCCAAACACATTTTCCACTCATCTAATATCTCCTCTCTTCTGTTTCCGATGAAGTCCTACCCGCCTCCTTGTCTTCCATAATCAACATCTTATGCAGTGATTATCCAACAGTCCTAAATTGAATGTGAAATCTTCAGGCGGCTGTTGGAGAGCACACTTAAACCCAACACGGAAGGGTGCTTGCTGTATTCGGCTATCAACGACAATAGTAGCCTATTATTTATATGTCGTAAGCGTCTACCAGTTAAAGTTCGCCGACCTCCTCCTATTGGACGTCTTATAGTCTCCTTTATGTCGAACATTTTTTGGTTATGTTTTGATTTTGTGCAAATAAAAACTGGTTTAAAACAGTGAAACATCAATCTTTTCAACTAATCTTCCAATTTTAGTATAACCAGCTGTTTCAAATATTAGTGTCAATTTCAAAGTATTCATCTGTTCAAATGTAAACAAACATTTTCTCCATAAGAATAACATAGGAACTTTGAAGGCCACTGGGACAGAGCCCTGATGAAATTTCCAAGTTTTTTGGTTTGATGGCAAAACTACACGTTAAGACCTTTCTAACGACACCTTGGACATGGTGATCAGTAGCACCACCGCTCTTAAACAATTATGACAAAAATATGCCTAGCGTATTAAATATATAGATATTGCCCAAAGAGAAAAAACACTCTAAAGAATTTACAATACGTTTATTATACACAACGTTTTAGATTGGCAACAATTTTCAATTTAAAATTCTTAACTAATCTGATAAATTTAATTAAATTTGGCCCCAATTTCCGACTAAAACTCAAAAAGGTAGACTACTGACCGTGTACACTCCGAGACAGCCTCCAAGCACTGCGCCTGCCAGAGCGTCCCACCAATGGTGACGGCGGTCCGTGATCCTGGTGATGGAACATACCAACGCCCAGGTGAGGAACATGACCTGTAACCAGGCGACTACTAGGGAACTGACACCTACTAGCCTCTGTTGTAGATACCACTGAAACAGACCAGATACCATCCATAATAGGAGAATATAAAGGGAATTTGTATGTAACAGTAAATAATCTGTTTTATGTGATTAGGTTATGCCTCAGTTCTATGCCTATGTTTTGTAAACAACTATAAAATTTCATTAAAAAAATAATGGGGCCAATGAATGTATCAACATTTGTAGTGTAGGGAGTGAAGTAATAAAGGTTTAACAGTGAGGATAAAAATCAACCAATCAGAAAACTATTTTCTGGCCTTATTGAACGATACAGGCATCGGATGTTATGTTGCGACACAATATGAAATATACATTCTCTGTTACAACTACAGTAACAATAAACATAATAAATACTTGTACAAGGATCAAACTGAATCACCTCAGCAGATACAGGTAGTAATTATACTTTTTATTAAATATTTATAAATACAAAATCTGTAGCCTATCTAAAAATAAGCAAAATTTGCTTTGTTTTCTAAACTGCATCTCTACCACAGTAAGATATCCTTATTGTTGTCTTCTCCATTACATTCAGTTGGTCAAGCCAAATTAACTACCCACGGCACAGCAAATGGTTCCCATGGCCTGGCTAATTTTTCAATTGATTATGATTTTGATATCAGTTTACATGGGTTCATAAGTTAAGGTCCCCACCGAGCTCCCATCACAGCCAATGGAGCTAGAACAAAGCTGAGACTAACGATGTGTTCTTTACTTTATGCAGTTATAGCTCGTTCCCAGTTATCTGGCATCATTAGGCTCATCATAATATTTTAAATGTTGAGAAAGAAAATTGACACTCCAACGTAGTCATGTTCTGTGAATAGGTTTCTGTAGTATTAGTTGTCAACTGCAATTAAAGTCCATCGCCAGTTGACGGGACATAAAAACAGAAGATTGTTTGGACAAGAAAACGTGAGAGAAATTGCCAAACTAGTAGGGGGACATACTAAGACCTTCAAAAACTACGATCAGCACTATGAGTCTTAAATACACCAATCAGCAAGAAAGTTTCCTACGATTCAATCATTGTCTTGGAAACTTATGATCATTTGCTGCTGGTCCCATTAAGTAAATGTGTACTTTTCTGCATAGACATCTGTCAACTGGCAACCGTAATCAACATGGGATTATGGACCTACTGCTTCAGCCAACTGATCTCAGAGCGCAATTAATACTTAAGACGAGAATGTACATTTTCTTTCACTGTGTTTTAGCAAATTTCCCTATAGGGAAGAAGCGATTTAGATATTATGACAAGACTAATCATTCCATTTTAGGTAAAGTGAGTCTAAATGGGCGTTAGTCTACAACTTTATTTAGCTTGCTTCGCTGCTGTATATAATTTATGGAACACCATAGTAGTTTCGGTTATCCATGGTTTCAGTTCAACTAATGTGGTTGATAGGAGTTTTCATATAAACCTAGGTCTAAATAATTTGAATCATATGTTGAAAACAAGTTCACAAATTCTCAACAGAGCTTTTGAATTTCACATGAAGTTTACTTACAGCACAAAACATGAATGAGTAGACAGACAAAGACGCATGACCCGAGGGGAATGATTTGCTTGCATCCCTCAGTTTGATGTGGCTCACTTCAAGGTTGGTGCATGTGTAGCTTGAGATATAGCTGGAAAAGGATCAAACGTTTATAACCTGTTTACACCTTAAATAGTTTAGGTCTATGAATGGATATATAATTCATATCCAGTCTATGAATGGATAATTTTGAGAAAATAAATGAATTTGAATTTGAATTTGAATATATATTCCATGATTTTCATCATCAGTTGCCAAGGTAAATTTTATACTTAGTTCTTCAAGTTTGGTCAAATTGGAAAAAAAAATTAAACAAACGTACAGTAGGCCTACTTGTGAGAAGTTAGAAAAACTATTAGCCCTAAATGATTTTTAGGTAATTAAAAGAGTTTTCTTCACCAAGCCAAAACTATAGCATGAAGTAACGGAAAGTAAGTAAGCTAGTGGCACTTTGTATGGAAGAATCACAAATTGTAGGGGAAAACAGAAACCCCACGAATATTTTTGGTAATGATACGGGTCAATCACATCCCTCTTCTGAGTCTGAGATGTTAACCACTGTCAACACACCCTACATGCAACTTTTTGTAGTACACTGAATAAGTATAAGTCTTATTGCTAACTTCATAATTACTTTCTGTATTTCTCTCATAAGTCACAGTGAACTATCTTAAACTTGATAAGAGTAAAAATCATACGATTATAACTAAAGTAGAACCTCTCATGTCCGACCTCTGAAATAACCGACTCCTCCGGATATCCGACCTAGTGTCCGACCAAATTTTTTTTTCTGTCTGGGACGATAACGCCGAGCGCCATCGGTTAACCGAAAGGCTGATCATGGATGTTTCCGTAATCGCGGTAGAGGATCACCACTGTCTCCGATAACAGGTGTTGCTGGAGACGATTACCGAAGTCGCCCGGGATAGCAAGTTACGCTCACATATGTTGTCCCAATCGCTGGAGACAATTACCGATGTTGCGGAGACTGCAAGTTACGCTCAATGGTGTTGCCGTAGTTGCAGGACGTAGAACGAAATGGACGTGGAATAGTTAAAATTGAGCCACCTAAACTGTGCTGATGGATATTACTGATTTACGTAGAATATGTCAACTTTTTAAACAAGTTAAACTGATAGGATAATGACTCTAAGACTATCTCATTCACAAACGCAGACAGAAAAATGAATTTTAGACTGTAGAGCATTCTGTAAGTGGTGCATTCAACAATGTTCTAGTAAAATGAACAGTCAGCAATCTCAGACAAACTTTCTCCCATTAGCTTGTCAACAACTCTTATCATGAGTAGGCCTAAGCAGTAGGAGTAACTGTGTTATGGGAAAATCACTTTTACAGCAATTAGGGTTGTAACATTTTGATTGGAGTTAAAAGGGTCTAAGAGCTACAGCTGGACACTATAGACGGGATGTCTACTGTACCTTCAGTACCCTTAAGTCAGTTAGGACCAAAGACAATCCACAATATATTTTAAATAAAAGCTGAAGTAATTGAACAAAACTGTCATACCCAGAGGTACAGTTGAAGGCCTGGAACGGTTTGCAGGTGTCTAGAAAATGAGGCCTTGGCTCTCCGACTAATACTTTTCCAACGCAAGTGAGGAAGAAGACAATGAGTAGGCCGGACAGGTACTCCCGGTACCAAGCCATTGATTGGTAGAACCAAGACCACCTAGTTGCGCCGACTCTACGCACTGAGTAGCAAGTGTACTCAACTCCACACATCTGCAAGTGAAACAATGTTTTGTAATTGTTAGAACTAATTTTTTTCCATAAGTTAACATAAAAAAATTAGGAATAACTGAATACTTAAGAATATAATGGTGACTGAGAAGCAAATTGTGTAATAGTATTTTGTTAGTAAGATCAGCTGGCTGTTAAAACTAGGATAATTTATTAAAATTCCAATCATCCTTTTTTGAACTACTGGACAGCTTGGTTATTAAGATTTTGACTTTACTCAGAACCAAACCGGCAACCAAAAACTAGGCTAGCACTATTTCCACTCAGCTAAGAAGCTTGTAGTTCCATAAAACCTACAGTCAATTCTACGTTCAAAATGCAGGAAAAGTCCTAATGAATGATGATCGACGCTTTGATGTTATTAGTAACAGCTAAAGTTTATTGCCATGCAGTAGGCAAGTTATGTCAACTGTCCTCACAAACCTCGAGAAGGCACTAAGGTAAATCTTACTAGTTTGGTAACTATATGTTTTGATAGTCTTTTCACTTAATGATCTGGATTTTGACTTCCGTGCAGTCAAGATTAGTAAACCGGACGTTAATAAAACAAAATTATTACAAACCCTTCACTTATGTATGTATACAAGTATTACTCGGTAAAATGGCTTTTAACTGTGCCTGACATGTAGCCTACTGCAGCTTGGGAGTCCAAGTTTACAGTAGAGGTCTACACTAAGATATGTACAAAATGTCAATAGCAGTTATTGTAAGCTACCTATAGGCGTTTTTACTTTTCAAATAGGCCTGCTTGGAGTTATTAAATAAAGTTAACTTTTACAGTCAATACCATAATTTATTTAAATAACTTAAAACAGATAGATTTATAGGTCTAGGCCTACAAATATTAAAAAAAAATGCTTGTCCGGACACTAAACTCATTATTTTAGAAGGCTGCTCTTGAGGTCTTTAATATTCATGGGTAAACTAAAGTGCACTAATCTTGCTAAGAGAGCTCCCTCTTTTGATTTAGGATAAGGTCTATACATATTTAGAAGTTACTGGTGAAAGACTTACAGCGAACAATGGTAGAAGAAGAGTGGAAGACAGAAGCATCTTCAGCGTCACAGTATCGCCGGTGTATTTATGAGAAATCTTCGGATCACCACAATAAAATCCAATACTCTGGATCTCAGGAAGTATCCCGTATTCCATTAATATTAGAAACGTTAACACTGAAACAAAAATAATCATTGGTCAGCATATCTTATTCCAAGCATTAATAAGAAGGCATTTATATCCAGTGCAGTACAGTGCAGTACCGGTACCGACTAAGCCTAAGAATGTAAAATCAAAGCTTACAGTATTCAATCCCTAGATAGTCTAAATACTGTCCACTCCTAAGTAATTCCTGTTATTCTGTATAAGTTAGGCTAGCCTATATTAGGTACTGGTAAGTTAGGCCTAGGTTTGGTGGTTAGCCTTATTAATTTGACAGTACTGCATTTTATTTTACAATTCTGCTAAATATCTTATGGCTGCACTTTAGTTTACGTCCTACACTCAGTCGAATGAATATATCGATCGATATATTGATTATTTCATTTCATACATATATCAAGTTTGGTTGGTTACGTTAAAACCTAACCTAACTAACCAAATGAAATAACCAATATAGCCCTATCGAATAACCTTTCGGTACTTACGTATTATACGGAGGCCACTTATTTTACAGCGCTCTGCGGCGGTTGGGTTAAGTTGGGTTATCATAAATATGTTTGTAGAACTTTCCTAGTTTCGTTATGAATCAAACTATACGAGATGAGTCATAAAAACTTATGATAACCCAACCTAACCTAACCGCCGCAGCGCGCTGTAAAATAAGTGGCCTCCGTATAATACGTAAGTACCAACCTTTCTTTGAAATCTAATGGTATTAACCTATTCCATTCGGTTAGTTAGGTTAAGTAAACCTAACCTACCTAGTAAACAAATACTGTAGAGCCCAGCTAGACTTTTCGGTTATAGAATAATTTTTACACAATATATGTAAATTATTTTAAATGAAACACTGGTAACTCAAGAAACCTCAGTTCATAATTCTTATCAAATTAGGCCTATGTCTATTAGTTTCATTGAAAGTACATAAGTTAAAAATAAGTAGATTTCAAAGAAAGCTTAACTTAATAATCACAGTAAACGAAACTTACAAATAATATTTCGGTGTCGTCGTCTCATTTTAAAAGTAAAGGAAAAGCTTTTATTAACAGTTAATTTAAATAACCTAAACAAACAATTTTATGGCATAGATGACCTTAACCTCTACCACTATTAAATGTAATCTCAATCTCTAAATAAACTAAACAAACAAGAACTTGAAGCTGGCTGCTGGCCTGAAACAGACAGAAACCAGAAACACCTGTTATCAATACAGACGACATCCAGTGTGAAAGTCAGCTGATCAGATCATGTTAGGCAACCAAGCCTACTTTTACTTCTTTTCTTAGCCAACTAAATATATACGTTTATGTATGATATTAACTAATATTATTGATGGAGATCTAATGTATTACCATAGTACGACGATGGTCGAGCTTGAGTATTATTAATTTCATACACTTATTTTTTTTTACAGATTCTTTGTATATATTCTTCTATTGCAAAATAAACCCGAAAACCTAAAAGGATTTGTTTAAAGGTCCACTAAACTAACCATGTTAGGGACAGTGTGTAATATAATGTAATCTGATATGAGTGACCTTGCCCTTGACTGCCCTTGACGCATTGGTGCCCCCTACCTGCGTAATGGAACCAATTGGTTTTAATAAAGGCTACAAAATCATAGCGGAAGTGTCGATATTGTAAAAAGGAAGAGTCGTAAAACTCAACATCAAGTGGCTTCACGGCGCAGCTCCCATAGAATTTAATAAATTGGATATCAAGACTCATAATTTGGATATCAAGAATTTAAACACTGTTATCTTAATATATAGTCATCGATAAAACATACTACCTTGTGGTGGTTTACCCGGGACCGGTTTTCTTTTTCGTTTTCGGTCCCTAGAGGCCAAAAACACCAACCGTTCCAATTCATATATATTTTATGGGTGTGTGGGGGGTTTTATAGGGTAAAAATAGGTTTTTCCTAATTTTTGACCCTAAAAACATAAATTTTTGCAATCCCTTTCCAAACCATTCTGTAGAGCTTTTTAAAAAACAAATAATTTAGTAAATTGAAGCTTTATGCGCCAAAAGGTTACGGAGACAATAAAAAAAAAAATAAATCTAGAATTCCCATGTTATTCTTAATGAGAATAAAAATAGCCTACTGTTGTTGTTTGCTGCTGGTTTATGAGCATATTTTGATCACATTTGGAAAATACATTTATTTCATACTAAAATATTAAAATTTTACAAAAAAAAACACTTTTATAGCTTCCCTGTTGCAGCAAACCTAGAGCAGTACTTGTTAAACTAATACTATTAAATGGGGACTAAATGTGATATTTTTAAGGAGACATTTTAGTGTAAATCCAATAAGGCAAATAGAAATTCGCTTAGTCTGTAGGTTTGCTGTGGCGGGGACATTTTTTTTAATTTAAAAGGTATTTAAAATAAACATTTATAACTTTGTCCTTGTTCGGTTAATAAAAAGGCAAATGAATTAAATAACAAAATGCTCCCAAATTGAACGTAAATGTCGTAGGAATTGTCTAAAATTGTTTTTAAATATTATTTCGTTCTAATGATAACTCTATGAGGAAAGTATTCATTTATATACCAAACATACTCGCTAGTTCGTCCATGTTTGATTGTATTGATGCTTCAGATATTATAAAAGAACGAGAAGACTATTGCTTGCACCATTCAAAGTCAATGCTTACAATCTCTGAACCAGTTTATAGTTCCGAACCGTTTGACGCCGGTCATGCATTTTACATGAGCCAATAACTCATATCAACAGAGTAAATGCTATTTACAATGAAGTAATTATTTATCTACGGCTCCCCCAAGTGCTTAATCTCTCGGCCATCCCTATACGTGTAACGCTGTTGATTTATTTATTCCATCAAAATGATCTCTTTAAATAGTATAATTATTCAAACTGAAGGCCTGTGTCTAGATAAGCTAAAGTGATTTAAGTAGAATTAAACTTGAACAACTCACACAAAGGAAAACAATTTGACACCCCACCTAGCATTTTTTGTAATAGGTATAGTTGTATTAATGAATACAAAGGAATAGGTAATATATGTTTATTCATGATAGGATACTGCCTAAAGGGAATTTAAGACACGCTAATAGTATTATACAGGGTGAATTTTAAATGAGTTCCCCCCCTACTTTTTTCTACATTTCTTAAGATATCATCTCCGGACCACGTCAGATCATTGTTGAGTAGTAAGTATTTCATTTTGACTGGGTGTACATTTTTGGCCGCCATCTTGGATCCGCCATATTGGATACAAAGTTTTTTTTTCAAAAGTAAAGGTAGGGTTGTGACCCATTATTTCAAACAAGAATTTTACGCTGATTACAATGCCGCAATTAGTTTTTAAAAATCTTGATCCGTTCTAAAGTTATGAGGACTTTTTATAACTTTATTTTTAGCGCATTTTAACATTGTGCATTTACAAACTAAGACCATAATCTCAAAATAGTGCTAGATAAAGATAATTATACAACACCATTCATTGTTGACATACTTTCACTTGGTTGTGACGGATGTAGTTTTTTCAGCCGCCATCTTGGATCCGCCATTTTGAAATGTGATCAATTAATTTAAATATGAAGGTGGTGTTGTGACCCATCATTTTGAGCTACTTTTTTATGCTGAACTCAATGCCGCAATCCGTTTTTCATTTTCATCTTTGGATTTTGAAATATTGAAATTTTAAATAAGAGTATTTTAATATTTCATCAAGAAAGCTTGATAACCAAAAACGGATTGCGGCATTGAGTCCAGTATAAAAAAGTAGTTCAAAATGATGGGTCACAACACCACCTTCATATTTAAATTAATTGATCACATTTCAAAATGGCGGATCCAAGATGGCGGCTGGAAAATTTACATCCGTCATAACCAAGTGAAAATATGTCGACAATTAATGGTGGTGTATACTTATCTTTATCTAACACTATTTTGAGATTATGGGCTTATTTTGTTAATGCACAATGTTAAAATGGGCTAAAAATAAAGTTATAAAAACTCCTCATAACTTTAGAACGGATCAAGATTTTTAAAAACTAATTGCGGCATTGTAATCAGCGTAAAATTCTTGTTTGAAATAATGGGTCACAACCCTACCTTTACATTTGAAAAAAAAACTTTGTATCCAATATGGCGGATCCAAGATGGCGGCCAAAAATGTAAACCCAGTCAAAATGAAGTACTTACTACTCAACAATGATCCGACGTGGTCCGGAGATGATATCTTAAGAAATGTAGAAAAAAGTAGGGGGGGAACTCATTTAAAATTCACCCTGTATAATAAACTAGTGGCCTGTAGGGGCCGTAGCCCCTAATTTAGACTACAATAAAAAACATATATAAAAAGACAAATATTCGAAATATGTTTTTAAAGTTATCAGTTTTATGTTACTTAAAATTAACAGTGTTTCTTGTTTTATATCTTGGTTTACCTTCCGTTGGAGTCGTATATTAGTTGCTTCTGATGTGTCAATGAAATACAAATGTAAAATAATGACTAAATCAATAACACAACATAGGCCTATTAACAAATGGAAACGTGCACACGGTTTGGCCTGAGTCCGGAGAACGACGAATCAGAGCTGAAATCATACAGCCAAACATTGCACATCTTTTCTACTTTAAAATTGAAGATTTTTTGTAATCCTACGAATTCTGTTATAGTTTTCATTTTGAGAACCAAATGTTAAAATTATTATTAATTATTATGAAGGAAACTCCCCATTTCGCAGTAGTAAGTCAGAAATATATCTATGAATTTGTCCCTGAATTTTAAGACAGTAAGGCCCATTTCCCGGAATCTCTTTTTGTGTAGCGGAAAGCGACGCAAAAGCCATTGCACTGTTGTAAAGCCTTATTATTATTATTATTATTATTAGCCTCATGTTGTTTATGAAGTTTGAATCGTGTAAAAACAGTTCATTTAGTTCGTCCTTTAATTGTGGTTGTGGCATGTCCATTATGGCAACATGCGTTGAAATGTCCATTTGTGGCCTCCTCTGCGAAGTGAAAAGCGCCACAATG